TTTTTTTGAGATAGAGTATCACAATGTAGCCCAGGCTGGCCTCAAATTCACAGAGATCCTCTTGACTCAGCCTCCTGAGTGCTGGGATTACAGGTGTGTGCCACCACCCCGGCCACATCTGGTTTCTGACCGAAAACATTTAAGGAGTCAGAGTACCAAGGCACCCAGCAGAGTGGATCTTGTAATCAGGTACCTGGACCAGATCTCAGATCCACCTCTCCCTGGTTCATTATTTCTCCCTAGGGGTACTCGATTCAGAAAATAGAAGACGAAAATGCAAGACCTCCCAGTTAAGTTTGAATTTTTAAAAATTTGACATGAATCTGTCAACAGTATTACATGCGATATACTAGAGATTTATTCCTGGAATGTAACTAGATGTCCTGTAGTGCATGTGGCAGTCCGACCCTCGCTCCTGTGTGGGAAGGACAGCAGGGGGCCTCTCCCAGCCCCCCACCGCCCACCCCAGAGACTGAAGCCCTCGGAATCAACCAGCCTCCCAGCAGAATCTCATCGAGCACACTCGAGGGAGAGACCTGAGTCGTGGGCTGCAGCGGGTACGTAGGCATAGATGGAGTCGTCCGTCCTAAAGGCACTGGAAAATGTAAACATTCCTACAAGTACTTGCTGTGAACCTTGTCTGTGCTGGGTACGGGGAAGACACCGGGACACAGCGGTGAACAAGACAGGCAGAGCCCTGTTCTCAGGCTTTTCCGGGCGTGATCATACCAGAGGCTCTGGGAAACCAGGTTACAGTGACGGAGTGCTGGGGACCGCGAATGACAAATTGAGTCTAGGGGATGTCCGAGGCTGTCCTTGTCCTGCCCGTGGGTCAGATCAGAACTCAGAAACTTCCCTCTTTTCTGGTCCCAGCTGGAAGCCCTAGGGCTAATGACTGCCCCGGTGCTCACAGGGCAACTGAGACCTGCTGCAGACACTGGGAGACTACAGTCTCCTCCTTGCCCCCGCCTCGCCCTTGTTCTTGCGAGAGTGCTGTGGTCTTCCTAGCCCACCTTAGTCCTCATTACCTGTCCAGAAACACCCACTGCCCTTCACCCGCTGTCCTTGACTCAGAGGTAAGGAATAATACCAAGGTTCTGGGTGGCCCGTGGCCTTCTGTTCCCCTAGAACAACTGGTCATCCCAGATCCCCGCTATGCACCCTCTATTTTTGTCTCTTGCTCTTTCTTTCTTTTCGGGGACCCACTGCAGGGGTCCGCAATAACTGGCACCATGGAACGGTCTCCAGTGACAGCACAGAAGGCCGTTGACCGTGTGAGGGTCAGGGAAGGCCTGTGGCATACAGTGACTTTGGCCTGAGACGAACAGGTGCTAGCCCGCCGGGAGACAGGCAGGGAGAGGGCAGGCGCATCACTCCTGCTGGTTCATGCAGGGAAGCTGGCTGCACCTGTCTTCCCTTGGGGGTCCCAGGCTTACTTGCATGAAGATTCCCTAGAGCCCAGTGCAGGGGGCATGGGCCACGGACTTCAGGAGTCCACGTGCCTGAACGAAGTCCAGCGCCTTCGCAGCCAGATCCAGTGCCAGCCCTGAGATGGCACTGCCATGAGATGTCCCCTGACCACGACCCCGAGAGTGGGAACAGCCCATCCAGGTAGCACCGCTGGCAGGCCGGCTCCCAGAGGAACCTGGAAGAACAAGGCTGCTTTCACAAGCTTAAAATAGAACTAGGAGTCAGTCAGGGAGAAAAACCTGTCTTCTGCCGTGGGAGCAGTGGTGGCCAGAAAGGCAGTGGCCTCGGCAGGACCATCAAACAGCACCCAGTGAGAGCGGCACCGAGGCAGGGCACTGGCCGCAGAGCTACCCGAGCCACCAGAGAAGGCAGGAGTCACCTGGACCTCCGAAACAGAAGGGGAGTAGAGCCGACAGGAGTCAAAATCTGTGGTCTCCCCAAGCCTGGCCCAGTGTGAGAAAAGACCTAGACCAGTGGTGGCCCGCGTGTGACACACGTACTGCAGCAGGCTGCTCAGACCGTTAAAGCTCTGAAAGGATCGTCCTTGCTGACCTGGACAGACACGATGCTAACCTGGTGGGGGTTGGGCTGTTTCCTCCGCCGGGCCCCGGGGAACAGGACCCAGGATGGATCAGGGGCTCTTCGGGTAGGAGTGGGTGCAGTTGCCCTGGGCAGGTGCAGTGGGAAGCAGCCGAAGCCGTAGGCTTTCCCAGCCTCCTAGGTTTTTTGCACTGCCCTCTAAGGTGGGATCTGCAGGAAGCTGCACGCTCTCCCTTCTGTTCCTCCTTCCTTCCTGTCACCAGTCTAACTTCCTTCCTGCCCTTCTTCTGGCAAGGACTTGTTGAGCAATCCTGCTCAAATCCTGCTCCCTGGGCTGGGGATTTAGCTCAGCGGCAAAAGCGCCTGCCTGGCAAGCGCAAGGTCGTGAGTTCGGTTCCCGGTACCGGAGAAAAACAAAAAAAAACAAAAAACAAAAAATCAAATCCTGCTCCGTGCCAGGCGTTGCAGACCCTGGAGAGACAGTAGCAGAGAAGACAGACCAGGGCCCTGCTTTCATGTAACGCATGTGAGGTGGGGGAGACTGAGAATTAAAAGTAAATGCACCAATTACA